CAATCACGCAAACTTTAAAAAGAAAAAAAAAATACAGAAAACAGGCGAAATTGACAGTGCAGAGACTCCCGCAGAAACAAATAAATTCCAGCCTATGGAAGCGGAAGCATCGGCAGTGCAAGCGATTGGGCAAATGAAGTTGCCAAACTTTTTAACCAAGGATCCAACTTTATGGTTTGCACAAATTGAAAGTCTACTTCATATGAGCCGAGCCACGGTAGATTTATCAAAGTTTTACACAGTAATTACTGCGCTGGATGCAGAAACGCTGCAACAAGTTGCAGATATTTCAAAAAATCCTCCTGAAACAGGCAAATACGACAAATTAAAAAAAGAACTAAATTCTCGTTTTTCCGAGTCGTCAGAAATGCAGCTCATAAAGCTGCTCACTGGTCTGGAACTTTCGAACAAAAAACCAAGCCAACTGGTACGTGAAATGCGCACGTTAGCAGGCGCAAATGCCTCAGAGGAGGCACTAACAACACTGTGGCTGCAACGGATGCCAAACAATATAAGATGCATTCTATCAGCATGCAAAACCACAAGTATAGATGAGTTAGCAGAAATAGCTGATAGAATATTAGACAACAGTCCAGTACCGTCTTACGTAATGACTGCAAACGCCAACAAATTGAATGACGCATTGGAATCCCGCGTAACAACCTTGGAAAGGTCGATTCAACAACTAAGACAGCAGCTAGTCAAGATATCAGCAACTTTAGACAGATTGGAAAAACGACAGTCGTGGTAGAAATAACAGCCGCAGCCGCAGCAGTTCGTGCAAACGTGAGAAGGCCTGTTACTATCACATAAAATTTGGGGCAGCAGCGACCAAATGTAGCCAACCGTGCGAATTTGGCAAATTTAAGAGCAATAATCAACAGGAAAACTAACGAGGCTGTCGTCATCAAACACGGTTGGCGACAGCATAAAAAATCAAGAGCTACGATTACATATTTATGACCGAAAAAACAACATTAACTTTTTAATTGATTCTGGGTCAGCTATTTCACTACTTCCACTACCAGGAATCAATCCAAAAAATAAAATGCAACCAGACGATCTAGTTCTATATGTAGCGAACAACACTGCAATTAAAACATTTGGCAACAAGCAACTAGCAAGATTTAAGCCTTAGAAAAGACTTCAACTGGTACTTCATCATCGCTGTTATTAAAACAGCCATAATTGGGGCAGACTTTCTCACGCACTACGGCTTACAAATCGATCTGAGGGTAAAATCGCTCATTGATACGCAAACCACGTTACAGTCAAAAGGTCTACTGAAAGAAGTAGCCCACGAAAATGTTTCGACAATCAATTCATCCATCAAGTTCCATGATGTCATCGCAAAATATGTTGACATAACAAATTTAAACAGGTACCAACTACAGACAACAGACAACGTTCAACACAGAATCATAACAAATTGCCAGCCCATATCAGAACGCCCACGTTGTTTTTCAGGTGAAAAATTAAAAGCAATCAAAGATGAGTTTCGTGTATTACTACATCATGGCATAGTGAGGCCATCCAGCAGCCCCTGGGCAAGTCCCATACATTTAGTAAAGAAAAAAACGGGTGGATGGAGAGCTTGCGGTGACTACCGAAAATTAAACGCCCACACCCAACCTGATAGCTACCCAATTGCGCACATTGATGACATAGCCGAAAGACTGCACAGCAGTAATATTTTCTCTAAGATCGATATCACGAAAGCATATTATAACATACCAATGAATCCAGATGATATTGTTAAAACAGCGGCAAGCACACCAATATGTCTGTTTGAATTTATCGTGATGCCATTTGGTCTAAATAATGCCACACAGACTTTTCAGCGATACATGGATTCAATATTTCGTGAATTAGACTTCGTGTTCTGTTACTTAGATGACATTCTAATATTTTAGGAAAATAACACTAAACGTAGAGAACATATTGAATGTGTCCTACAAAAACTAAAAGCTGCTCGATTGGTAATCAACAGTTGGAAATGCGAATTTGGCGTAGAAAAACTCACATTTCTTGGATACGAAATATCAGCGACAGGATTAAGTCCCCCACAAGAACGAGTTGAAGTGATTAAAAATTTTACAATGCCAAGTAACATCATGGAACTTCGACGTTTCCTGGGCATTATCAATTTCTACAGAAAGTGTATTCCTAAGGCAGCACAAATACAAGCGCCACTAAATAGTCTCTTCAAAAATTCAATAAAGAGTGATAAACGAAAAATTGTTTGGACCGATCAACTTAAACAAGCTTTCCAACAATGCAAAGATGGTATAATCAACGCGACTAAGCTCACATTTTTAGCACCTGACGCACCCATGTGTGTAACCACAGATGCATCAGATGTACCATGGGGCGCTCACCTACAACAACTGAACGGCGAGACATGGCTCCCGATAGCATACTTCTCATGCAAACTGAAACCATCACAAATCAAATATAGCACTTATGATAGAGAGCTACTAGACATCACGCAGTGGACTCGAACCTGCATTGCATGTCAAAAATCAAAAATTAGTCGGCATAATCAACTTCCTCCTAAAGAATTTCAACACACAAGTCAACGATTTGACCACGTACATGTAGACATTATCATAGTGCCTGAACATAAAGGGTATAGGTATTGCCTCACGATGATCGACAGGTTCACTCGGTGGCCAGAAATCGTGCCCTTAAAGGACATGTCTGCAGAAACTGTAGCAACGCAATTTTATTCAACATGGATTACGAGATTTGGTTATCCTAAAACTATACAGGTTCACTCGGTGGCCAGAAATCGTGCCCTTAAAGGACATGTCTGCAGAAACTGTAGCAACGCAATTTTATTCAACATGGATTACGAGATTTGGTTATCCTAAAACTATAACGACCGACCAAGGCACGCAATTTGAATCAGCACTTTTTGAGTCCCTTGGCAAACTGATAGGTGCAAAACGCATCCGAACGACACCGTATCACCCAGCATCAAACGGGATGATAGAGAGATGGCACAGATCGTTAAAAACCGCGTTACTGTGCAGCAAGAAGTTTAACTGCTTTGATACTCCACCTAAGGTTCTCCTGGGCCTAAGAACAGTCTGGAAAGAAGACATAAATGCCTCTGCAGCTGAAATGTTGTATGGAACGACATTAAGATTGCCGGGTGAATTTTTTAGAGATGAATCTGACACAGATGATCATCAGTCATTTTTATGCAAGTTTAAAGAGTTTATTCAAAACGTTAAACAACTCCAGCAGCGCATCACATCAAGAGAAACATATTTGTTCACAAGGATCTTTACACATGCACGCATGTATTTTTACGCATTGATCACAACAAAAAACCACTCGAACCTCCATAGTCAGGTCCCTTCAAAGTTATCAAACTCATTAACGACCGTCTTTTCACAATCGAAATAAATGGAACAAACGTTAATGTCGCTGCAGAGCGATTAAAACCTGCATTCACGGTTGCAGATCCACAGCAAACGAAGCCTCCACTGAAAACATATAGCAATCCAGTTAAAAGGTTAGGAACCAAAAAGCAAGTGACGTTTGCAGATACAGCATCAACATCGTCCATCGTGACTATCGCACTGAGGAGGGAGTAACTGTGGCGTTCACTTTGGCATCTATCGGCAAAGTAAAACCAAAAATGATCTTTTTTTGTATGGATAAGCAACCAACTTCAAGTAGACGCGAGGTAAAAATAAAAATAGTTAATCAGCAATCAATAAGTGTGTTTTAATTTAATTTGTATAAACTTAACATTATGGCATAACAGCCATAATGTGAAGGATTCGCCACATATATATGTAATGCCAAATTTAAGGAGTAATAGTATCTTCCGAATCACGCTTTTTAATGTCCATTCTAATTATTTATTGCTTGAGCATTTTACTTAGGGTCTCGTTTTTAGTGAGATTACGATTTAAACTTTTAACTTCTAATCTTTAAACTGACTCCTTTAATGAATGTTCACATTTATTTCGGAATTCTTATTAGTTATTACAAGAAATTCTCTTCTCTGTTAAGCCCAAGCTAGTTTTGACAAGTAATCTTTAAATAGTACCGAAGTGGTTCTAAACCTATTAGTCGCTCGAAAGTGTTTATATATTCAGACTAATGTAAATTTGTAGCGTGAAAATATAGTATTGGTGGGCCTTCGGTGAAGAACACAAATCGTGCTATTTATCTCAATCATTCCGAGCAATATGAGTCATTAATGAACGAATTAAGGTCTTGTATGGCAGTAAATGTGGTAGATTACCGTTATATTGCATTTTGTCATAAGAGCACGAATTTTAACAACAATTAAAGTACACAATTCAAGACTTACCTGTTTGCTGCCAATGATTTTTTTTCAATACATATAAAAATATATTTCAATTTCATAAGTATTTTTCTGAAATATGTATGAAGTGCTTTAAAAAATAATTACAAAAATACACAAATATGACAACTAAATATTTATTTTTTTTTTTTTGTATATTAAACATTTTAGCTTTTTAATAGAAAACCTTACATTCTGATTAAAATAAAACAAAATTTCGACTTAAGATTACTTCAAATCACAGAATAATAATTTTCAATCAAGGAGCCGCACTCCAACTAAAAATAAAAGATATTTTGTTATCTAAAAAAACAAAACTTTCCTATTAATCCGTCGTTTCTAAACATACGTTTTTTTACAAATGTAAACTTCGACAATAAATGAAACAACCACTTGTCTTATATACCACATATATTTTCTTTCAAGTAGTTGCCATATATGCATATTGTCATAAACGAGATAAGTTTTGTATACTTGTCTAGTTTAAATGATTTCGAGGCTGTATTAATATTACTATTAAAGTAGAATATTTAACGTATTAAGTTTTGCTAAGTCAAAATATTAATTGAAAAATTACGGTTTTGTTTGTGAGCAATAACATTTAGAATAATAATATTGAAAACATTTCTAATTCTAGATTTATATTACATTTTTTTCTATATTGCTTCTATATGTAAGTATTATTGTATTAGTTATATATATTTGAGATACAGTCCTTCAGGTTAAATTTTTGTTATTTTGAATTTATAACAGGCAGTACCATTTGCTCATATAATATTTCACAAGATATTAAATATTTAACAATTTATTTGATTAATTGTTTTTTTTTTGCGAAGAACACCATATCCTATATGACTATCTTCAGCTTTTCGCAACGGCAAAAACTCAGGAGATTCAATTGACTCATACTCATTGAAAACTGTGGTGTTTACAACCATAGATTTATCATGTCCAGTTACATTAACTATAGTTTTGTATCCACTTGAAGACACATTATTAGGTAATAAAAAGTCTAAATGATCATAACATGCATCAGGTGTTAAGTTATTATTACCAATCTCACCAATATCTATGTCTAGAATTTGTGGATTTTTTATTGATGGTTCTTTATTATATTTTGATTTCTTCTCTGCATCAATTACATAATTATCATCAGTATCATTCATAAGTCGCTCTGTATGGTTTACTTCTCCAATACCAAGGGTTTTCCATGCATTCGTTATGCATTCTATGCATTCATAATTACTATCCGATACAATTTTATTTATCAGTAACTTTTTAGCATTAGATTTTGAATTAATATAAACTTCATCAGTTGCACAAATATTAGCACATTCAATTGATGAGTCAATTACAATCGAGTCAGAATTTTCTAACACATTTGGGTTTGCATCTTTTAATTGTGTATTATTTTGAGAGGTAAGATGCGGAAGAGATTTCATTTGTGTTAACAATAACGTTTCCGAAATTGGTTTATTCAGAGAAAATATTTTTCGATTTGGTTTTTTTGGAATTAACTGAACCGATTTTTGTTCAAAATTAGATTCCATATTAGAAATTTTTTCATTAATTACAACATTACTGATGAAGTCATCTGAAGAAAATAAACCTTTTAATGAGAAATTTCCGTGAATTGAATTGGATAACTGACTGGTTGGTGAAGGTATTAAAGGACTGCGAGATCTCGCTTCCATGCAGACTGCTGCACTTAAAGGATTTTCATCATTGATTTTTTTGTCTGTAGAAATAAGTCTTTTCATAGATTTCATTTTCGATGACATACATCTAAATATATCTTTTGGATTAGTGTGATCTAGGATAAAAATTCCTTCGCCTGTGGAACATTTCCGACCTGCTTCAAAAGTAAATTTTCCATCCCGATATCCATATTTACGTATAAATCTATAAGGCCATGTTGCTATAATACTTATATTTTCTTTTGATTTTAATTGCAGTTCTGTTGTAGTTAAATGTAACATATAATTCTTAGGTTCTATATTACATTTCTCAGAAGTTACAGATGGGATAAGCGTAACTGCATACAATGCATCACTATAGGACGAACAATATAAATCATTATCTTCTTCAATACCAAAAAGTGAGTTAAATGATCCATTTTTATCACGAAATGCTACTGTTTGTAAAGCTCTGACCCAATTCTTTTGATCTTCTTTAGACAATGCGTTTAAGGTTAATGTCTCTGCTTTTTTTACAACCAGAATTGTATTAGATAACGAACTTTCTAATGTAATTTTTACACAATTTTCCATTGTAACAATTTTTGGATTTTTATCTTCTTTTGTTTCATAAATTTCAAGACGCTCGACTCCAAATTGACTTGAATTGAAAAGTACACAATATCTGTATGGTTTCTATTAAAGTACAAAATAAAAATAAAAACAATATTTATATATAATAAAAAATAAAATTTTAAATGCAGTAACATATATCATAATATAGTACAATCTCTGTAATGCCAATTAATTAATACTTAAAGTTTTGAGAAACAATATTTCTAATTCATAGAGTAAAAAAGTTTTAGGTTCACTGTTCTTTATAAAACCTTATAATTGTACGGATGGCCTTAATTTAACACAGAACACACAAAAAAACTATACTTTTTTATGCGGGTTATTTCATATGTGGTTTTTTTTGCGCGATTTTTTGAATCAAATATCAGATAAATTATTGGTAAACGATTCGAGTCGATTTTTGAATGCATATATTATATAGCGCTGTCTGTCACTCAAATAAAACCATCCACTTTGAATGTCTGTTGGAAGAAAAAAGCTAGGCCAGAATTTCTTAAAAATGTCGAAGCTATAAGACATCATAAGTATTAAATCAAATTATAACGTTATCTGAGAATATTGGTGGAGAAGGTTTTGACACTTTTATTGAAAATGAGTTGCTAATTAATGAACCCTTAAACAATGACGATGTTATTTCAATAAGTTTAGAACCCGTTGAAAATTTAGAAAGCAACCAAAACAATGATAAACCTGAAGTAGAGCTTAGATTTATGTTTGTTTTAATTTTTGAGTCGTTACTTCGAAAATATTTAAATGCGGCTATTTTTGTCTTTTTTATTAAGAATATATTAACTTTTATTTCGAAAGTTTTATGTTGTGTATCTCTACACGTGTTTCGGCAAATTTGCTTTTGCCTTCATCAGCAGAATTCCTAATATTAAAAACATCTAGCAATCTTACAAATTATTTATACTATTTACATGTTATTTCTTAATACTAATTTTGGTTGGGTTATTATCCTTGGGGGCGACAGGTAAGAAATGGTGGCGGGGTTGGTCTGGTTTTGTTTTATTGTTACATACAGGTAGGTCGAGTTAGGTCGACAGGTTGTTGGTTTTTTGGGATGTATCTAAAAAGCCATGATGATACGTTGCCCTTATCGTCGTTGAGTAAAGTTGTGGCCTATTGATTATGTATTTCGATACTCTCTTCCGTTTCTAATTTCCAACTATCCCTTACATTTTTGATTATTTGGTGTGGCAAAAAGCTGTATTTATCGCACCCGACACAAATAAGAACCAAAACAATGCAATGTCAAAATACTTTTGTCCAGCCAAAAATGCATAATCTCTCATATAACATGTCATAGCAAATAATTAGCTTATCAGTGCGATCTTTTGTTCTCTTATAGATATAAATAGCAGTTTTCTATTGAAAGTTTAATAAATACCGTTACTTCTACGATTAAAAAGAGACAAGAGACACACACTTCGCGCTTTGTCAAAATACTTATGTCCACCATTGTATGCTACTTTTTGAATGAAATTCAAGTTCTTTTTATGCGATTTTGTTAATGCGCTTTTTTTGGGAACGCATATTCCGCATAAAAGACCCGGGTGTACTTTATTCCCGAATTTATGGAAAATCTATTCTAATTTATTAAAAAATTTTAAGCAAATTACTTTCATAATTTATATTTTTTTTAAATATTAAATAATAACGACTGTTTTGGGGTATTAATCAAATATTAATAAAATATTCTTTTTGTTTACTTTTTTCTGCCTTAGTCGTATATTCAAACTATTTCGTGATACAGTGTGCTAACTTTAGAAAAAGATTATTTGATACAATGCATCAAGAAAAAAAATTTGTTTAAAAAATTTTTTGCATGGGATCTACATGAAAAGTGGGCGTGAAATCGGGCGACTTCTTGTTATTGGACGTGAACTTGAAATAATTTAATTTTTCTATTATTACGACTGTCAATTCTTTCACAATCACTGTAATATCAAAATAAATAATTGATTATACTTATAAAACGTTGAATAACGGTAAAGTAGTCAAAACACCTATCAACACCCTGTGCCCGCGTGCCCCTGAGAGCGAGCACACAAGGCAACGTGTCTGATTATATTCAGCATGGAAAATGCCTGCGCAATCTTTTTCGTCCTCAATCCAAGTTGTCGGAGCCTTCACGGGGCACCCCTAGTTACCCGGCATCCGCTGGGTAATGAACTAATAGTGCGTAAATTGAGTCCTAACCCCAGGACTTTGAATTTTGGTTGTGCACAGGGTTTAGCACCCATCACGTAAAATCAGTCGCCAAAGAATGCAAACATACCTCGAAACTCGAAACCAATTAACGTTGACCAATGTAAACGGTTAAAGAACAATGCTTTACAGATATGCACCTGGAATGTTCAGACTCTCTATAAGGAAGGAGCCTCTATCTAACTGGCGGAAGCCCTCAGTAAATGTAAGGCTGACACCATCGCCATCCAAGAAATGCGATGGACAGTACATGCTTCTGTAAAAGTGCAATCTGTGATATCTACTACAGCTACTATGCGAATACACATGAGTTTGCAGCGGTTCACACCAGTGAACGAAAGGCTTGTTACAATCGTATCAAGGCTAATTCTTTCAACATCACCCTAATTTGTGTTCACACACTTACAGAAGAAAAGGACGACTTGGCTAAAAGTACCTTCTACGTAAGACTAAAGGAAATTTATGACCACAGTCGCACCCACGATGTTAAAATTGTTTTCAGCGATTTTAATGCAAAGGCCGGACGAGAAGAAATCTTTTGTTCAACCGATGGGAAATTTTGCCTCCATGATTCAACTTTTAACAACGATTTGAGGCTAATTGATTTTTCTGTAGCCCGCAATATGGTAATATGTAGCACCAGATTCCCATACCTCAATATTCATAATACAGCCTGGCCATCTCCTGATCAATCAACACAAAATCAGATTGCTTACTTCATGATGGCCGCAAGTCACGCTTCAAGTGTGGCGCATTTCACGTTCATTCCGTGGTCAAAATTTTGACTCAGACAACTACTTTGCCGCAGCCAAGGAACGCATGAAGTTTAGTACCTACAACAACGTACGTTCCCGTGTGGAGAAAAAACTAGACGTCGTTAAGCAGCTATCACGAGAGACAGCCGAATTGTTCACCACTCAACTCTCTAGCCGATAAAACAACCAACACTCCCGACCCGACAATGCCGATGGACAATGCGAACATCTCTCACTTCTTACGCACAACTGCGGAAGATGTCTTTGGTTTTTAACGTTTCCAATAATAACCGTCCGTGAACAATATCGGGAGATGAAGAAAGTAGAAAATCGCCTATTCAGACGAAAGAAATGAGATCAAGAAAGGCGCGAGCGAAAGGAAATCTAGATGCTTAGAAACAAAAATGATGCCCGTAAATACTATCAAGAAGTCTGTCACTGATACTGAAGACTTAAATGAAATACCTTTGAGTGGTTGTGGATAGCAAACTGACGTGGCAGCTGAAGTAGAGGAGCGAGTAAAAAAGGCAACAAATGCTTCATACTCATGTAAAAGGAGGCTTGGAATTATGTATTGGAGTTACACGATCATGGTTAGACCTATATTACTTTACGGTATATTGTTTTGGTGGACAGTGTTCAAATAAACATACGCAAAACTTATGGAAAAGGTTCAAAGACACGCGGCGATTTGCATCACCAGCACAATAAGAACAACTCCGACGGCAGCTCTTGAAGCAATACTCAACTTACCCCCGCTTTACGTTTTTGCAGAAAAACGGCCGAACGGCTACGCATCACTGGGCAACTTACCGGAAGATCTCTCGGAATAACGTTGTAAATCAGAACACCACTCTTGACTCGAATTATATGATCCCGATCATATATCGCGGAGAAATGATAAGAACTGGGTTTGAAAATGAAGGATGGAAAAAAGGCATGGTAGCAAAATACAACACAATAAATGTTTTCACATAACAATGCTGTTTAAACTTTCCGACAACTGCAGCGTATTTCAAGCAGAAGTTTTTGCTGTTAAAAAAGCAGTTGAGCTGAGTGTGTGTGACTGAAACGAGAAACTTTTGCATATATTTCTTTGTGGATGAAAAACAGCCATTAAGGCAATCACATCAAAGTGGTCATCATCCAAAAATGTTTTAGAATGCAAGAAAGCTTTAGCCAGACTAGCCTGCACCGTAGACTTTGCATGTACTGGATTCCTGATCATAAAGGCATAGAGGGAAATGAGACAGTTCGTGCTATTGTTAAAACTGGCATAAGACTTTCAGAGGACCAAACGACCGAAGTACTTAGACCTCTGAAATTAATACATAAACTTCTGAACGAGCACATAACAAGGAGAGCAAAGGAGATGTGGCGAAACTTAACTACCTGTAGAATAGCTAGGATCATGTGTAGACACATATACGAGGAAAAGTACACCAAGGATATTATATCGTCTAGCCGACGGAACTGTAGAATATTAATTGGTGTATTGGGAGGTCACTGTCTGGTCTTATACATGCGCACAAATTTAACCCAATTCGTAGCAATGCTTGTAGGAGATGGAACGAGTCGGATGCAAAGGAAACTCTAGAGCATCTGCTGTGTAACTGCCCGGTTCTCACGAGAACTCGACTGAAATACTTAGTCAGTTTTACAGGACTAGAGCACATACCTGAGGTTTCTGTTGATATTCTAATAAAATCCGCTAATAACACGCGCATCCTAAGTGATGCACATTATCGTTAAAAATAAAAACTCTGATCTGGCATCGCAATGGACCTTAATGATCTACGCGTGGCCTTTTTAGTCTGCCAGAATAACCTAACCTAACATCAAACAATTTTGTCATGAAAAAGACATTGATTAATGGTCAAAAAAAAAAAAATAATTAAATTTATTCGAATGGAAATGTATTTTCCTTCTACTAATAAACAGAAGTTCATTGATGTTCATAAAAGTAAGCCTGATAAAAATATAATCAGGAAAAGAATTATTTTAATATTAATTAGAATTTTAACTTTTATCTATAATTGTAAGTATAAGTACATCTAAGTACATGTAAATACATCTAAATATAGTTACTTTTTT